GTTCATTCTCCCCCTACACACACACACGCACACACACACTCTCACACACACACACACACTCATGCACGCGCACGCAAGCACGCACACACAAAGTCACTTCTAAATAGCAAAGATTACCTAAGTAGACAGAAAGCATGATACTTGGTCAAGGGATACAGATGTTTTGAGGGAGAGCTTGCTGGGATGCACACTCTGGACTCAATCCACAGTATCAGGAAAAAGAGAAGAAAAAACAAGACTCAACTAAACGCTGCCCTCTTAAAGTTCACTTTAAACAGAAAAATACAAAGCTTCACAGTGAAGTGATAGCTCACGCTAACACTAATCCCCAGGAGCACGAAAGTGAGACTACAAAAAGAAAGCCGAAAAGCGGTATCAGTATCAAAACAGGTTTCAAATCAAATAACAGCAGAGATAAAGGAGATCATTCACAGTGATAAAGAGGTTCCTTATCAAGAGTTAGGAAAAGCAGTCAGTAAAGGTGCTTGACACCAAGCCGGACAGCCTGAGTTCAATCCCTGGGACCACAAACTAGAAGAAAACTGATTCTTGTGAATGTCCTATGACCTCCATATGTGCTCAAGCACATGAGCACGCACACACACACACACACACACACACACACACACGCACACACGCACGCACAGCATAGTAATTAACAAATAAATGTTAGTTTTCTAATTATAAAAGGAAATACTATTTATTTATTTATTTTGGTTTTTCGAGACAGGGTTTCTCTGTGTAGCTTTTTTTGGAGCCTGTACTGGACCTCCTTCTGTAGACCAGGCTGGCTCTGCCTCTCAAGTGCTGGGATTAAAGACCTGTGCACCACCACCTCCCAGCAGGAAATACTTTTTTAAAGGCTAAGAAAAGTAAAGCCAGGCATGGTTGTGTATATCCACAATCCCTGCAATCCCTGCAGTCACAAGGCAGAGACCAGAGGACTACAAGTTTGAGGAAAGCCGGGGCAACACAGTAACTTCCAGGCTAGCCTAAGCTACATAGAAAGACCATGTCTCAAGAAACTGTACTAGCCGGGTGGTGGTGGCGCATGCCTTTAATCCCAGCACTCGGGAGGCAGAGGCAGGCGGATCTCTGGGAGTTCGAGGCCAGCCTGGTCTAGAAGAGCTAGTTCCAGGACAGGAACCAAAGCCTCGGAGAAACCCTGTCTCGAAAATCCAAAAAAAAACAAAAAAAAACTGTACTACTAGGGGATGGGGGGTAGCCCAGCAGTTGGGTGCTTGCCTGGCATTCACAAAAGCTTGGATCTGAGTTCCTGAGTTCCAAACCTAAGTCAGGTGTGGTAGCCCCTGCCTGCCATCCCAGCAACGTATTAGAAGCAGAGACCAGAAATTTCAGGTCATCCTCAAGTACACAGCTCATTTAAAGCCAGCCAGGGAAACATTAAACTCTGTCTCGATAAACAAATAAACTATAAACAAATTACATGTGTATATATAGGAAACCAAAATAGTAGCAATACTATTATCATTTTAAAAGGACTATCTAGGGCTAGAAAGTGAAATTTTTGCCTAGTATACGCAAGGCTCTGAGTTCCATCGCCAGGGCTGCAAAACAAAAGAACAAATAACTATCCTAAAGGATTGTGTTCCCTTTCAGCACTTCAAAATACGTGAAGGAAAACTAGTGTAATGTCCAAGTGTGACCTATAGTCCCAGCACTCAGGGACAGAGAGACAAGAAGATCAAGAGTCCAAGGACAGCTTTAGTCACATAGGGAGTTTTGAATACACTTGGGCTACATTAGATGCTGTCAGAGGCAGGAAAGAGAAGGAAGAGAGGGGCTAGAGAGGCAGTTCTGCCGTTAAGAGCACTTGCTGCTCTTGTGGAAGACCCAAGTTCACATCCCAGCATCTAGTCAGAAAGCGCACAACCATGTACAACTCCAGCTCCAAAGGAATCCAGTGCGCCCTCTTCTGGCTCCCACTGGCATCTGCAGTTACACACACATACCTTTGCATAGCATACATGCATACACAAAATTAAAAAATAGTTTTAAAAATAAATATTTAGCCAGATATTGGTGGTGCACACCTTTAATCTCAGCATTCGGGAGGCAGAGGCAGGAGATCTCCGAGTTCAAGGCCTGCCTGGTCTACAGAGCTAGTTCCAAGGTAGTAGGGCTACACAGAGAAACCCTGTCTCAGAAAGAAGATCTACAAAAAATATCACGCTCTTGACAAAACGTCTTGATAAGTCAAGCATGGAAGTACATGTCTTTAATCCTGAAACTTGGGGTTGGGGCAGAGGCAGGTGGGTCTATGAGTTTAAGGCAAACTTGGTCTCCATAAAAAGTTCCAGGTCAGTCAAGGCTACATAGAGAGACCCTGTCTGAAGTAACAACTGGAGGTTGGAGAGATGGCTCTTCAGTTAAGAGCACACACTGCCCTTGTAGAGAATCCTGGTTCAACTCCCAGCACCCACATCTGTTGACTGACAATCTCCTGTATATAAATGCATCTCCCAGGGATCATACACCTCTGACCTCTAAGTGAATCTGTTCTCAAGTGGCATACACATATATAATTATTAAAATAAGATATTTTAAAAGTCTTTTAAAAGAAAAAAAACAGGAGTGAGTGCTGGAGATGGCTCAGCAATTAAGAGCACTAGCTGCGCTTCCAGAGGACCTGGGTTCAATTCCCAGCACCCATATGGCAGCTCACAGTTGTCTGTAACTCCAGTTCCTGGGGATCTGGTACATTCACACCAGTGCACATAAAATAAAGTTAAAATTATTTTTTAAAAAATTGACCAGGAGGGCTGGAGAGATGGCCCAGTGGTTAAGAGCACTGACTGCTCTTTCAGAGGACCCGGGTTCGATTCCCAGCACCCACATGGCAGCTCACACCTTTCACTGTCTGAAAATGCAGTTCCACGAGATCTGACACCTTCACACCAACGAACATAATAAAGTTAAATAAATCATTTAAAAAATTGACCAGGAATGATGGTATATACTTATAATCCCAATATCAGGAGGCAGAGGTAGGCTGATCTCTGAGTTTGAGGCCAGGCTGGCTGGTCTATATAGTGAGACACTGTCTCAGAATGATGATGAAGCAGAAGGAAAAGGAGGAGGAGGAAGATGATGATAGGCAGCCAGGTGTAGTGATGAACGCCTTTAATCCCAGCATTCAGGAGGCAGAGGAAAGCAAATTGTTGTGAGTTCAAGGCCAGCCTGGTCTTAAATGGTGAGACCCTGTCTTAAATGATAACAGCAATCATGATAATAATAACTATTTCTAAAAATGAGCTGAACAAAGGAGGAAAGAAAACTTCAATGTGATAAAAGGCATCTATGAAGAAAACCACAAGCAGCATCATAAAGATGGAGCCCTGGGTGTTCCCCACGAGTACACGGGAATGAAGCAAGGCTGTCTGTCCTCGTTCCACAATTATATAGTGGTCATCCCCACTATATAATTATATAAAGGGGAAGAAAGGACAAGGAGACACCAGACACGGAAGGAAGAGACAGAGTGGTCTGGATTCACACACATTCATCTTGATGTACAAAGTTCATGAGCTCTCTAAAAAAGCTGTCAGAACGCATGGCTTTCCAGTGCACCCTTAGGACCTGAGACAGTATTTCTAGAATATTAGCAACAACTGGGCATGGGAAACACCTCATATATCACAGATTGTCACTTGGCTTTTCTATCAGAACGCTCCTAAATCAGACACAGAAGTCCCAAACTGAGTCAACGTCAAACTTTGTCTGCCAGACCCCATGCTGTTGTGTGGCTTACAAAACTGTAATTCGCCGGGCAGCCGGGCAGTGGTGGCACATGCCTTTAACCCCAACACTCGGGAGGCAGAAGCAGGCAAATCTCTGTGAGTTCAAGGCCAGCCTGGTCTCTAAGAGCTAGTTCCAGGAGAGGCTCCAAAGCCACAGAGAAACCCTGTCTTGAAAAACCAAAAGAAAAAAGAAAAAATGAAAAAGAAATTGTAATTCTTCTGCCCATACCCAGCTGCAGTTTATGGAAGGGACTGAAGTTGTGTGGTAATCAGATGTCCAGAAAAAATGCAAAGTGACCAAGGGAGGCTCTGTGGTTGGGCAGGAAAGAGTCCTGCTCAGGGCCAGATGGAGCTGAAGCTAAAGGAAGCCAGATAGACATGTTGGGTCAAGGAGGCAGATCTGGCCTTGGAGTTCCTGTCTATGGTGCTTCTCTGAGAGCCTCCCCACACAGCTGACCTACGATCCCCATCTGAATCCTAATGCCTAGGACCAGTCATGCAAAAGCCACCCCTTCCATCCCTAGGAAGAAGCCACAGCTGATTCTCATGATTCTGATGCAATCCTGGGAGCAACATAATCGTTTCCTGCTCCACCCTAGGCTCATGGGAACCCATTTTGCATAATGCACCGAAGCCATGATCCCCCCCACCAATGCTTATCACTACCAGGGGAGCAGAGGCTGAGAAAGCCTGGTGCCCCACTTCTAGGGAACGAGGGTGGCTTCTGTATTAGATAGCTTCTGGCTATCCCCTGGCTCCAAGACGCCCCCAGAGACTCAGCTTCCTAGGACTTCCAAGGAGTGATTCAAGCTCTTCACACAGCAGTGCGGAGCTAGCATGACCTCGGACCAAGTACTCTGAGTGGAGGCCTTGGCCTGGATCAGTGACGGGGGACCAAAGAGAGCTTGGAAGCAGCAGAGAGGAAGAACGGACAGAGTGGGGTGGGAGAGTTCTTCACGGTTGTGATGGGTTCCTGTGGAGGATGGCAGAGCAGAAAACAGAGCTAGTTCTTAAGCCTGAATTCAAGTCCTTCATTTAACAACCACCAGCCATGGGAAGCCTGGACAAGGAGTGCCCGCTGATGCTTTCCTTGGCAACCATGAGATGGAGTGTTATCAGCACCCATGCTTGTAGAGGCAGGGGATAGATCCAAGAGCCGGGACAAGGCCAAGATGGCAAGTGGAGCGTAGCAGACACAGAAGACAGGGTGGTGAGGGAAAGTGTAAGGTGGGAGCGATAATGTCGGGTGGGCTGGAAGGGGGGCAGGAGCACTTGGCACCAGCTCCGGGATCATCCCCCACCCTGATGCTGACTGTCCTTTGCTTTTCTTCTGGGCCAGGAGTCAATGCATTTCCCTGCTGTGGCAAGAGTGCTGTGGACATCGTGGAGAAAACGTGAGGACCAGTCCCTATCAGCATGGGGCCTTCCCCTAAAAGCCCAGGCTCCCGGACCTTTCCCCAACACCACACACTCCCACCCAACTAGCATCTCCCCTTTGTAGCTCCTTTCCAAACCTCCTCAGGAGCAGAGTCCAGGCTGAAGGCTAGGGTTGCCTGTGATCCCATCTCTGCCTCCAGCCTCCAAACCTGGCAGAGGGCTAGGGTGGAGGACTTAGAGGCAAGGCTGCCTTGGTGGGGGCAGACGGAGCTGTCCAAGGTAGGAAAAGACAGGTGCCTGCGGAGGGAACAGGAGTTTCAAGGTGGAGCACTAGGAAGGAGTAGGGGCTGAGAAGAAGTGAAGGGGCCCTGCACTTCCCCCAGTCTCCATGGGTTCTCACATCTACCCACTGGGAGTGGGGCAGGTGAGTAAGGGGCCTCTCCCTGTGTAGGGAGCCGTTTTCAGAGCACCCTGGTTCACCCAGAGCCCTTAACTAAAATGAAGATTCCCAGCAGGGCGGTGGTGGCGCACACCTTCAATCCCGGCACTCAGATTTAATCCCGCAGGGAGATCTCTGTGAGTTTGAGGCCAACCTGGTCTACACAGTGAGTTCCAGAGACAGAGAAACCCTGTCCCCAGACCACCCCCACCAAAAAAAGAATGAAGATTCCCAGGCCCCTCCTCCAACCAGATGGAGTAGAAGAGTGGTATTGGCAAGCTCTTCAGAGCTTCTGAAGTTTGGAGAGTCTTAAGAGTACCACCATGTTAGGGGGTGAAGTGTCCAGGGCCCGAGTTCAGATATCCCACAGCCAGGGGAAAAGCTGAACATACGAACACTGAAACCCCAGAGCTGGGAGATGGAAGCAGGAAAATTCCAGGGGTTCACTGGCCAGCCCATCTAGCAAATCAGTGAGCTCTGCGTTCAGAGAGAGATCCTGTCTCCAAAAAATGAGACGGAAAATAGCTACGGTAGACACGCGAGATCAACCTCTAGCCTCCACATTTGTATGTGTGCGTGCATACATCACACACACATGCACACGCACACATGCACAAAGAATATGACACTTCAGAGCTCCCAATGGAGCAGGGACAGTGGGGAGTAGCGCAGGGGTCTTCTTACCCACCCGTGTACAAAGCCAGAGCTTTGAGGCCCTAGAGGATCCGTGGGGTCTCTGTCACCCATTTGGATCCCTTATGCTTCAGGAATGACTATCACCACCAGCCCCACAGCCATAAAGAAGAGGAGGACGAAGAAACAGAGGTAAGAGTGCCACACTTTATGCAGAGGTCACAGGCAAGACGGCAGGGTCTTGATGCTTGTCCCTTCTGGGACTGTAGTACGGGGCCCCACACACGCCTTCACCATATCGTCTCTGACCTTGCTTCTCTGGCCCAGGGAGGTCTCCGAGAAGCAAGTGGAGGTAAGGGGTTGGTAGTGTGCCACACAGGATCAGGACAGGGGCTTGGGGGGGGGAGTCCTGGGGGGAAGGGTGTCCAGCTCCTCAACTTCCATTTGAAACCTTTCAGCAGAAAGCAGAACTGCCCAAGAAGGAGACACTACTCAAAGGGCACCCAGACCCGGGCCCAGTGCCACAGCTGGAGGAGATGGCACCAGTGGTACCCTCTAAGCCCACGCCTGAGACCGAAGGGGAGTATTTCACTGAAAGCCCGGAGCAGGAGGGCTCCAGGATTGAATCCCTCAAGCCCTATGAGGAAGAGCTGTCATCCAGGCCCTGGAGCTTCATCGCAAACTCGAGCAACAGGGAGGATGAGCAGATATGCTCCACCCAGTTCCGCTCCATCTGCGTGCAGACCTCCAAACACCTCTTCTGGGCGAACAAGCTCATCCAGGCGTCAGAGCACAGCCTCCAGCGGGCCTTAGAGAAACATCGCAAGAGCCCGCAGGAAAAGAAGTCTGTCTGCATTCCCCAGGTTCTCCCAGACTGTGCCCCACTGCCGTCAAGTCCCCGGGTATCCTGCACTACCCTGCCCTCAGCCATTGGCCTGGCAGATCTGATCAACTTTGCATCCTCCCTTGCCGTAGCCTCCTCCAGCAGCAGGGACTTGCCTAATCTAGAAAATATGATCAAAAGTACATCTGAGAAGTCCCAGGAGACGTCTACAGAGCTTTGCCAGCCGGTCCAGTCCATCCAGTATGCCCAGGCTACCCAGATTACCCAGATATCCTTGGAGACGCAAGAGAAATCATCCAAAGACGTGATGACTCACGAATCTTGGACTCAAGAAACCAGGAACGTAGCTTGCTCTTACCTAGATTTTAGCAAGACAGGGTTCAAGAAGGCCACCATCGAAGGGGAAGTGAAGTTTGTCAAGGCACCACCCTCCCCCCAGCTTCAGGAAGCCAAAGAAGAGTGAGTGACGCTGCCCTGCAGCCCTTCCCCCTGGCCAGCATGTGGGTGGGGATAGACTAGGGTATCACATTGCCAGGTGGGGTGTGCAATACTGGAATGGAGGGGAGGGGCCGAGGCAGGGGACAGGGGCAAACCCAATGACCTCACAAAGGCTGCTAGGAACAGGGTTCCGGTGACCTGAAGTGCCTTAGCAAAGCCAGGGCCAGAGGAGGCCTGGGGACCATGGAGGGTGAGCTCTCCAGGGCTAGCACAGAAACCGGGGTTTAAAATGGGCAGGGCCACATTGCCTCAGGAAACAGGTGTGTTTCGTGTCGTCTGTCTCCTGAGAGCAAAATGGTCGCATCTCTAGGGTGCAGGACACTTCCGTGAGTGAGTGTAAGGGAGCTGGGCTTCAGAACCCTTGACCTCTGATGACATGTAGACATAGAACAGAGCCCCAGCTGCCCCACAGGTGCAGCGGGGGACTCCCCCCCCCCAGACCCTAAGGCCCTAGTGACGCTGTCTTTTTTGTGTTGCAGCTCGGTGCCGGGAACCAAGAAAGGGAATCCATTATTGCTGAAAATCCATTTTAAGTTGTCGTCCCCTTCACCCCAGAGAAATTAGACAAAAGCATTAAAGCCTCCAGTGCTGGCCCTGCTGAAGACTCTTTTTTAAGCTGCTGGAATCAAACCCAGGGCCCTGAGCATACTTAGGCCAGCATCTTACTCCTGGGCTATATCCTCATCCCTTGGACTCTGGAGACAGTGTCTCCTTCTGTAGCCCAGACTTGGTCTGCCTACCGCAGTCTCTCGAGCGATGATATTGCAAGGACATACCATTCTGCCTGGGCTCTGGCTCAGGTTTGGGAGGACCAGCTCCTCCTAACCACTGTGCACAGCTGGCTGCTATATTCTGGAAGCGATTTTTTTAGGGATGGCACCTCCACTTTTAAGTTTCCCGTGAGCCCGCCCATCCCTTAAGAGTTCCGGCCCAGTCATCTAGACTTTGCTTCCTCCCTGAAGTGTTTCTGCTTTTCTTCCACCTACCAGACCACTAGGCCACCTCAAAACTCCATCCCGGCTTCAGTTTCTTAGGCCTAAATCCAGGGACGTGGGGGCGGGAAGGTGTGGGGGGAGGGGCCTCCCTGGAGGTGGGGCTGATCAGATGAGAGTAAATCCGAGGAGTTCTTCCTGTAGCCAGTGAGGAGACCTGGGGAGGACGTTGTTTGGCTTGAAGGAGGGAAAAGCTGAGGTTGATAGACTGATCTTTTAGAAGGCCACAGCCTCAAGCCAGGGTTAACTCCAGATGTAGGGAGATCCCACGTTGATGACATACCCAACATGGCAGCCCAGAGGAGTTCCCACACACCACCAGCCAGACACTTGCATAAGACACCATGTGCCTGGACACAGGCCCAGAAAAAAGGCAATATGAGGGAGTTTCCACTTTTGGCAATGGTCAGAAGGCTGTGAAGTGGATTTAGAGAAAGAGAAGGGGCCAGCTTGCTCCATAGACAGCTGTGTGTATGAGATAGAGAGGTAGGGTGCGGGCATCTCACTCTGTGGAGCCCAAGCTAGCTTCAGCCCTGTATCAGTCTCTCTACCATGGCCTCTTGAGTGCCGGGATTGCAGCCAGTCACGTCACACCTCGTTTCTGTGTCCTGTGCGTCGGAGTTTAAGTTGCCCTAGCTGGACTGCCTCAGATCCATAAGGAGCCTCTCTCTGTACCTCCTGAGTACTGGGATTCCCAGCAGAGGCTCACACTGCCACAGCAGCTTTTGTTGTCCTTGTCATTGTTGAGCCGGTCTCATTCTGTAGCCCTGACAGGCTCCTGGGTGCTAGGATGAAAGGCAGGCACCACCATGCAGCTTCTTTTTCCTCTTGAGACAGGGTACTGCTGTATAGGCTGGCTTTGAACTCGCAAAACTGCCTGCCTTAGCCTTCAGAGTGCTGGGGTTATAAGAGAAGCATGCCACCATGCCCAGCCCTGGTCAGGCTTCCTGGGAAGGAGAAGCCCATCAGGAGCCTAGGAGGAGGCTGAGAGGGGAGCTAGGGGTGGGGCAGTGGGATTAGGCAGCAGGAAAGCAGGCCAGAAGGGAAAGGGGCCGCAATTGAGGGTGGGGACAGAGAGAAATGGAAGATTTCCAGCTAGAGTGTCATGCAGTCCTTAGGATTTGCCTTTAGAGTTTATCGTTTGGGTGGGGTTTTTAAATGTAAATTCTATTTTTTTTTTCAACAGAGGTGGTGGCAATCCACCTCTCATCCGAGCACTTAGGAGGTGGAGGCAGGAGGATCTCTGTGAGTTCAAGGACAGCCTGGTCTACGTAGCAAGTTCCAAACCAGTCAGGGATATATCATAGGTCTCTGTCTAATTAGCAAACTCAAGGCCAGCCTGGGCTAAGGGGCAAGCACAGACAGTTCCTGTGTGTTCCTCCCCTGCCCCAGCCCCTCAGCCTGGAGCACAGGGACATCCTGAAGCAGAGACACATGGTTACACAGACCCACACTGGCTCAGCATCACCGAAAGCCCAGAGAGCTTCATTCCCTCTTGCGGTACTTTCTGTGACGCGTATATGGCACGTGTCCTATTGCAGAGCCATAAAAATAGTTTGCCCGTCCTGAATACCCTCTGCGCTCCACCCACTCATCCTCCCCTCCCCTCCAGCCACCCACCGGTCCCTTTTGCTTTCGCCAGAATGAACCGGAACCTCACGCAGCCTTGTCAAGCAGGCTTCTTTCCCTTCGTAAGCAAGCAGCTAACTCCCCTCCGAGTCTTTTCTTCGCGGCTTGACAGTTCATTTCCTTTTAGCGCTCGATAACATTCCGTCATCTAGATGGACCTGTTTGTTCTCCCGGCCACCTACCGAGACACATCTCGGTGGACTCCACGTTTAGGCAGTTAGGAAGTTGCCATAAGGATCGCTGTGTGGATTTTGTGTTTTAAAATCATCTGGATAAATGCCGAGGACCGTGGTTGCTGCTTACTAGTGTTGTAAAGGTGTGCTCGTGGGCTGGGGAGGTTGGCATGGCTACCAAAGGCTGGACTCGCAACCCAAACATCACGGTGTGTTCAGTATTAGTAAGAAAGTTGAAGTGACTTCCAGGGTAACTCGCCGCTTTGCAGCCCCAGCACGATGCTCCTCATCTTCCTCATTTGGTGGCGTCTCGCTTTACCGTTCAGTTCTCTACAGATCTTATACCCTTGCAGGTGTACATCTTTGATTTGTTAAGGTGTCTGCTCACATCGTTCGTCCATTTTCATTGAGTGATTAATTTCCTCATTGTGGCGTTTTAAAGGTTGTGTGTTTATTTGGTGTTAACGGTCCTTTTAAATGTGTCTCCGAGTCTATAATTGGCTTCTAATTTTCTTCACACTGTTGGCAACTCAGTGTTGGTTGTTCTTTGTTTAATTTTAAGACCGGGTTTCTCTGTGTAGCCCTGGCTGCCCTGGAACTTGCTATGTAGACCAGGTGGGCCCCGAACTCACAGTGCTCTGCCTGCCTCTGCCTCGAGAGGACTGAGATTAAAGGCATGCACCACCACACTATGCTTAATTTAAATATTTTATTACATTTATCGTGTGTGGTATTGTACAATTCTTTTTATATATTGTTGACTTCACCTTGCTTGTATTTCGTCAAAGATTTTCGCATCTGTGCTGGAGATGGCTCGGTAGTTAGCACTTCCTGCTCTCCCAGAGGACCCGAGTTCAGTTCCCAGCACCCAGAGTTTACAACCACCTGCATCTCCAGATCCAGGGGATCAGATGTCTGGAACTGAACTCAGGACCTCTGGAAGAGCAGTCAGTGCTCTTAATCTCTGAGCCATCTCTCCAGCCCCCTGAAGACAATTTTTTAATATTTATTTATTTATTATGTATACAATATTCTGTCTGTGTGTATGTCTGCAGTCCAGAAGAGGGCACCAGATCTCATTACAGATGGTTGTGAGCCACCATGTGGTTGCTGGGAATTGAACTCAGAACCTTTGGAAGAGCAGACAATGCTCTTAACCGCTGAGCCATCTCTCCAGCCCCTGAAGACAATTTTTTAAAGATGATGTCGCACTATGTAACCCTGCTGGCCTGGAACACTCAGTGATCTGCCTGCCTATGCTTCCCAAATGCTGGGATTAAAAATCATGTGTCATCACACCTGGCTAAAATAATTTTTGTTATTGTTTGTTTGGTTGGTTTGTTTTGTTTTATTTCTTTGAGACAGGGTTTTACTGTGTAGCCCTAGCTGTCCTGAAACTCACTTTGTAGACCAGTCTGGGCTGGAACTCACAGAGATCCACCTGCCTCTGCCTCCTGAGTGCTGGGATTAAAGGTGTGCGCCACTATGCCTGGTGGCTAAAACGATGTTTAAAAATGAGATTTTTTTCTGTGTATGTTCTCGAGGAATATTGTAGTTTTCTGGAAAAGTCTTTTTCTATTTGGGGTGCAGGGTAACAGCCTCACAGGGTTAAGATACCATAGAGAAGGGATGGTCCTTTGATAAATATTTTATTTAAAAAAATCATCAGAGAATTTATACGGGCCTTTCTCTCCTGTGGAAGGCTGCCAATTATTGGTTTGATTTCTTTAGTAGATAATTTCTTCACATTATTTCTTCAGATTATTTCTTCACATGTAACTTTTGGCAGCTTCTGTTTTTCAAGAAATTGGTCTACTTCATTAAGGTTATCAAACTTATAGACAGAGTCATTTATACTATTCCTTTATTATGCTTCGAATATCCATGAGGTCATTAGTGATGGCCCTTTAATCTTGCCCTCCCACCTTTTTAGTTATGTAGTGGTGTGTGTGTGTGTGTGTGTGTGTATGTGTGTGTATATGTGTGTGTGTCTGTGTGGTGTGTCTGTGTGTATGTGTCTGTGTGTGTATATGTGTGTGTGTCTGTGTGTGTGTCTGTGTGTGTGTGTCCATGTGTCTGTGTCAGGATAGTTTGAAGGACTCAGTTATCTTCTTCCATGTAGGTCCTGGGGACCTTTGAACTGAGGTCATCAAACTCGTCAGCAGGTTCCTTTACTGCCCTGTCTACCTTATTACTCTTCCAAAGAACAAGATTTTGGCATTTATTATTTTCGCTATTGACTTTTCTGCTTTCGATCTTAATTTTTGTTCACGTTTTTATTACCTTAATTCTACCTGTGATGTGAGATGCACTTTTTTTTCTCGTTTCTTGGAGTAGAAACTCTAATTATTGGTTTTAGATCATTCCTTTTCTAAAACATTCACCTAACACCACAAACGTCTCAAAGAAGTTTTTGCTACATCCCACTATTTCAAATAAGTTGGGTTTTTTAAATTATTATTTTTGCTTAGTTTGAGGTTTCTTCTTTTATTCATGCTTGTTGTTTGTTTGTTTGTAGACAGGTTCTCATACTGCCCAGGCTGATTTCAAACTCACTATAGAGCTGAGGATGGCCTCGAACCCCCGATCCTTCTGCTTTTGCTTCCCAAGTGCTGGAATTACTGACATGCACCCACCATGCCTGGCATTGTCTTGTTTTATCAATGTGCTTTCTTTTCTTGACAAGATCTTATTATATAGGTCAAGGTAACCTTAAACTCACAATCCTCTTGCCCAGCGTCCAGAGTTCTGAAATTACGGGTGTACATCA